GTCTCCATATTTATTGTTTTACTTTTATGATTGTAGATTTAACTCCAACTAGTAATAGATTTTGAAGGTCACATCAAGTGAAAGGATTTTTTGTTTCATCAGACTATCTACAACAAGCCACAAATTTCTAATATGAGGGAAATTGTTTTAGCAAAATGAGCACCAACTTCAACCATGATTTTCTGCAGCAGAACACAATTACCAAAACAATTTAAACATTTAAAATATTTAACTTCGTGCATATTAAAAATGTGGTTTCATTTTTACAGAATTTCTATTTAAAAGAACAATTTCCAAAGAGAGAGCTGTATATTCACCTGCTTTGTAGAATCACATATGCTAGACATTTCTAGAAAAAAATGACATCAAAACCCACTTGACTGATTTTCATCCTCTAATTATAATTGAGACCCTTTTCCAAAATATATCAACTCTAAATTTTCCTTGAATGCATTATTCACTTACTGGATTCCATTAAAAACCTGGGGTCTTTTTCTTTCATCACTCTCACCAAGTTCCAGGCTCCCAAAGGCATAGCTTGGGAATTAGACCATAGTACGATGTGCGGTGTATATTCCTCAATGCATGTATTTGCCAAAACTAATTTTTGTACTGTCTGTTTTATATCATCCACTTAAAAGTTAGTTTTACCCCATCATTAGTTCAAATAAGGCTTGATAATACTTAAATTTTCACCATGTACATTTTATCTTCCCAATTGATATTTTAAAACTTATTCTATGTAGCTTACAAAAATTTGAATATACTTAGTTTTAAATGAAATTTTATTATCTGAGCTATTAGGAAATTCTTTTGCTTAAATATTAATTAAATATAGGAAATACATTTAACGGCCTTCCAAACCTGGAGTAGTGCTTATAGTTATTATAATAAATATTTCTCATTACAAAAATCTGATCAGGAAGCCACACAGTTTAGCTCTGCTACTGAGTGCCTAAGAAAAATTAAATTAGTAAGGACATAAATATACTCACCTCTCCCCTTTCTTTCCCTATCCTCTGGTTAAGTGGAACTTCAGACAATTATTTGGGAGTGTCACTATATTTTGAAGAGATGCTATTTCAAAACTCTTCAGGTTAAGTTATTCAAAGTGCAAGCAAAGATCTCCACTATGCTTCTTCTACATAAGCTCTCAACTCTTTGGCTCCATAAATAAAATTTATTTTCCTTTCCTCTCACCCCTCTTGAGATTTCAGAGGTCTTCTGGTTTCTTCCCTTATTTTAGGACACAAGCATTCTTCACATTTCTTCTACCTTTAAACTAGAAAGAATGTGCTCATCTACCCTGCATAAGCAAAGGAGACCAGAAGCATACCAATAGGAGGGAAGGGTAGGGCCCCCTGCTAGGTAAATAAGCAGTAATAAAATGCATTGTCTGTACAGAACTTAAAAACAATAAAACTGACTAAAAACTAATATGCTTTTTATTATTACCATGCACCAGTATTAAAAAAACTTCAGTGACAATGTATTCCTCCTCTCTGGGCAGAAGGTTCCTTTTGTTCTCCCCAGTTTGGTATGCTACTGATGGACATGTCCCACATTTTCCCCTAGTCTCTCGGCTTATTTTTACAAGATACCGTCAGCTCAGTGAAATTAGCTGATGAAAAAGCGCTGTCCTTACACTGTGTCAGTGATTTTGTTACTTGATTTTCTTCACACCCAAATCAGTGTTTTGTGTAGCTTTATATCCAGTTGCCAGGAAAGCAAGGATAAATACAGGACTACTAAAAGAATACAGAATATAAAAGAAAGCAAAGCATTTAAATAAAGCATTAGGCTGAGCTTCTTCATGGATATTAATTAAAACTAAGTTATAGGTGAAGGGAAAAACTCCTAGAATTAAAGGCTGTGTTAAGTTGCATTTGGGGAAATAGGAAAAAGGCACATCTTCAGTTAAATGAAAAGGTAAGGGAAAAAAAGGTTAAAATAGCATTTAAAATTTAGTTAAAATATAATAAATGAACATAAATTGAATGAATTTTAAAAAGGAGGTTAGTTATATTCCAGCTGGAATCTTCCTTATCATCACACTGTTAATACTGAGCTGAAGATACTTCCAGAAGCAAAGACCTAAGACTTTAAGATGACTTTGTTTAGACTGAAGAAATCAGTAGAGTATACCACATTGTTTACAAAGCAGTATCTCATAAAGTAATATATCTCATTTGAGCTCTCAATAATCCTGTGAGGTAGACATTATAATGCAGTGGGAGGCCATACATCTGGGGTCAAATACTGGCACCATCACATATTGTGTGACCTTGGGAAAATTACTTTACTTTGCACCCTCAGTTTCCCCCTGTGAAAAACGAAGATGACAATCATATCTATCTCAGAGCTGTCATAGGATTAAATAAGATAATGCATACAAATACTTTAATTTAGTACCTGGTCCACAGTTAGTGCTCAATACATGCTAGCTATTATTGTTATCATAATTGTATAGGTAAAGAAGCCTAGGAGAGATTCAGAAATTCAAAGCCGTATGATTACTAAGTGGCAAAGCTAGTAGAATTCCAATCTAGATATGCTCCTGTTACCCTGTATTACCTATAAATATATCTACTTTCAGTTAGAGTATTTATTATCCTTTTGTACTACTTTTAAAATCTATTTTTTTTGCAGCTAGATTTTGAGTTTGACAGATTCAATGACACTATTAACATCATCTCTTATTTAAAAACAAATTTCTTTTAGTGGGAATAGAAGTTAATGACAAGCATTAAAAAAAGGAAATGATCTCTATGTAGAATAAGGGTGAAGACACAAAGAAGGGCTAGAAAAAGCGTTAACTTTGATTTTTCTTTAAACTTCAGGAAATGAAAATATAATCCATTAGTTGATAGATGGCAGAAAGAATGTAAGGACTGTGAGGCAGGGCTATTTGTTTACTGCTGAATCTCCAGACTCTATTCAGTGAGTGGTAGGTTCACAAACATATTTGTTTAATGAATGAATGCAGTAATAGTAATAATAAAAAAATCAACTTTACGATGTGTCCTTAACAGTAGAATTCACTTTGTTTTGACATGCTTTCCTTTCTTGTGTTAATTATGTGATAACTAAAAAGTCTAGCAAATGGTTATCTACCCATAAAACAGGGATTCTTATAAAAAGATTCGGAGTAAGAAATAAAAGACTAAATAAGGCCTTGAATAGCTTTATTGAAATCTGTATAAATAAACATGCACATTTCAAATGTAAACTCAAATGAACTCAAGTGCAGACAAAATTTTAACCTCTGTCATGCAGGAGGTTAGTTTACATTTAAAAAAAAAAAAAGGGAAAAAATAAAAAAAAAAATTAAAAAAAAAAAAAAAAAGGGAAAAGAAAAAAAGGAAAAACCCAAAGCAGCCTTTAAAATACCAGGATAAAAAAACAGCTTTAATACCAAGGTATAAAGCAAAGCCATGATCAACATACCTCAATTATCCTGGTCAAATGCATTTTTTTCCTTTTTATTTTTAATGCTAACATAAATAAATAATTTACCAAAATGTGCACTCACAGAGTGAACTTTTATTTACAATACACAATTTATAATCTATTGTATTTGATTAGTTCAAGTGAAGAACATTATACTTTTTGCTTTAATACAGTGGGACACACAGCAATTTTCTTCAGGTAGTCGTTACGTGAAATGTGCCCCAGCATTTAGATTTTCTATTAAAGGCAGTATTGTATGCCAATCGACAATACATTCTTTCAACTATATCAAAGGGAAAAAGCAGCAAAATGAAAAATGTTTAAAATGTTCACACATATTTTTGGCATCCTGGATCCTTGAATGTGGTGAACTAAAATAAAATTCAAGGTTTATATGCTTTATATATTGCACAGGTCTGACTCCGGAACATGCGAATGCCAATTGTCCTACGAGTTACCTTCTGAGAAAAGCGATAAGGCTATGGTGAATTCCATCAGGAACACACAAAGAAAGTTAACAGACCTACCTTTAAAGCCAATTTTCCATTAATGATTTAAAGGCCAGTATATGAAAAAAATCTCTCATCTAAGCTTGATGCAATTATTACTATGGATACAGAATACTATTAAGTTCATCCTTGTCTTACATAATTGAGAGAGCTAAAAGTTGCCAAATTACCAAAAAGTGGGGTAGAGAAAAACAGACAGCAAAAATTTTAATTTTGGACCAACATCAAATTAAAGATATGCATTTTTTAAAGCAAATCAAAAAGAATCTGAATGTCTAAGGAATAAATCCCAATAGCAGTAAAAAAAACCCCAAAAACCAAAAAAACAATCCTAACATTTAAACTGAAAAATGACTTTACATGGAGTGTGAAATCTAGAACCTGTTTCCACAGTAGCAATAAGATGAACATAATATTCTGGATTTTTAATGACACTACAAAAGGAAATGACTTTTTCAAGATGGTTTCTTATATCATGATTTGGTTTTTTAATAGGCCCACATTAATTACCAGGGACAGACTAGAAAATTTGGTTTTCCAAGAATACTACTGAGGTATTTATCCCACACTGATAATGTAGCTAAAATATCACAGTAGTATACATGGCAGCCTAATGTACATAAATTAGATTATAAAAAAATTAAGTTTAGCCATAATTTTCTTGCAGTATTATTAGAGCAAAATAAATGACCAACATCCACAAATTTAACATTTATCATCAACTAACTCACATCCAAAAAAATTAAAGAAAACATAATTCATCAAAACAGCAGCAAACTTAAAAGGGGTTTATTTGTGATTTCCTATATATATTTAGCTTGTAAATACAAGACTGTAAATGTATTAAGAGACAATTTCTGTTAAAGTTTTCATTGTGTTTCACTTCAAGTACTGCACAAGTTAAAATCTGATAAAGGATTTACATTCAGTTATCTGAAACTCCCCATCTCAGACTTTTGTTTTAATGTGGTGGGTAACTTCATCATTTCAATAGATACCACCAGCAGGAAAGTCTCTCTTTTATGGCTTCTAGGACTTTCATTAGTTAGTGTGCATACAGTTTTCGTTTTCTATATCATTGTCATTATCATTGCTATCTTCATCACTTTCTAATGGGATGCCTGTGGCAGCTGAAGCACCTTTAGTTTCTCGGTCAAGAGGAAAAAAGCCAGTTCCACTGAAAGTATCTTGTCTCTGGTAGAAGAGTACATATGCTGCTTTGGACTGTCAAAAGAAACAATGGATGTTAAAATGGTAATGACTCTCCAAGATCACATTAAATACAGTATGTATTTTTTTTGGCTGGGAATGTGAAAATCAAATACAAAAACCACACATGGTCAAATGATAGTTAAACTAAAATTGATTCAACATAAGTGATTTTTATACATAAAGAAGAATTGGCCCTGGAATTAAAAACTTTTATTCCTTTCTCAGTTATATGGGCCAATTAATAAATACCACTGTTTCACAGATGAACCTAGTTACTCTAATATAGAATAAAATCCTATGCAGCTTTCTAGAAGGTCTGGTGTCTAAGGAAAAGGTGAACGTCTTTCTAATACTACTTGCTTCATTCTGTGTCTGCTCTGGACTCCAACACTTCCTACTCTTTGAAATACATTGCTCCATCAACCATCACTTACATATTTTTAACATGTCCTTTAAGAATTTTGCCTGTCTTCCTCTACCTCATATCCAATTTTACAGAACAGTAGTCTATTAATTACTTACTCTCATGTATACTTTGGTCTTCACTATGCTAATGAAATGCCTTTCACTAGGGTCAATAATCTCCTAATAAGCAAATTAAACGGATGCTCTTTTAGTTCTTTTAGTCACCCTTTGTAGTCCTTCACCAGTCCTCTTTCCTTCACCAAACTATTTTTGGATCCCGTGACACCACTTTTCCTTAGATCATATTCTATTTCTACTGCTTCTTCTTAGACTCTTTTGTGAGCTCATTAAATTCTCAATTTAAAAAATCATCTTCTGTCCTTAGCCACCACTCTTCTCAATTTGTATTGTTTCACTGGGTGGCTCATGCATACCCTATGGCCTCATATGCTACCTACAGTCTAACAACTCAAATTCATAACTTATGCAAGTTCTCTTCCCTGAATTCTAGTCCTATTAGTCCAACCACCTCATGGAAATTTCCACAAAGCTTTCAGACAAAAACCTTCAAAAACAAATTACCTTTCTATATTCCCTATCTTGGTGAATGGTAAAATAAGAGTCACCTTTAACTTCCCCCTCTTTGCAACTCTTTATTTATAATCTAATCTTAAATTAATTCTATCTAGTAAACCAAAAAAAAACCAAACTCACTGCCATTGAGTCAGTCCCGACTCATAGTGACCCCTCCCAGTCTTCCTTCTGAGGAGTGGCTGGTGGGTTTGAACCACCAGCTTTCTGGTTAACAGTCAAACGCCTTAGGCACTACACCACCAGAGCTTCTATCTAGTATATATCTCATAAATCCATTTTCCCTTTGTCTACACTCTTACTACATTTAATTTAGAAGCCCTTGTTGCTTAAATTACTGTGATAGCTTCCCAAATGGCCTTTTTGTTTCTTTTCTCAGTGCCTTCCAATCTATCTTCTACTGTATTCTGAGAGGAATGCTAAGATGCAAATTCTACTAATTCTATTAATGCCATTCTACTGCTTAACAACAGTGGTTTCTCAAAGTCTTTATGAAAACATTTATCAATGCACAGCACCTTCCTTCATCTGAGTGCTAAATTTCTCTCCAGCCTTATTTTTGCCCCATATCCCTACAAGAGCCTTTCCTTTCAGCCAAACCAAATTACTTTCTGTTTCTCTAAAATTTCATGCTTGTTGTACTTCCATGCTTTTATAGACATTGGTCTCTTAACTTAGAACAATTTTCCTTCTTTTATCTAATTTACTCCAATTTGTATTTGCAAACTTAGTTAAAACATCACTTTCACTGAGTTGAGACAGGTGTTCCCTTGCTATGTGGTTACAGCATGGTATTTTATAGTAGTTATAATAATGATCAATTATTATCTCTATCCTTTACAGATTGTAAGTCTCTTAAAAGTGAAGATAATTATCTTTCAACCCTGTTTAGAACAGTGTCCTGTATATGGAAAATACTCAAATATTTGTTGACTAAATGGAAAATTATCATGTTAAGATGCATAATAACATCAAATTCATTTATTATATAAAACAAGTGTTTATTTGCAAGCAGGATTAGGACAGTGGTGTCAAAGAGTCTTTGAAGGAGGATGCGGCCAATTTTAGGATGCTTGGATTGGAAGATTAAAGGAAAGAGAATTGATAAGTGGGGGATATGACTTGAAATTAGGAGTCATAATATAAATTGGAAATGTAGCTAAATTAGGCATATCTACATTTGACAAATATTAGTGTTCAAGTTTCTTTGTTATGGCTATAGGGAGGCAAGCAACAGTTTAATTAATGTACTATATCTATAAAGAAATAAGCAATTAAAAATTACTTCACGTCTGTTGATAAAATGACAGATCAAAACTATGACACTAATTTGGCTCAGAAGTTTATTCATTTGCTTAAATAAATTCAACAATTTAAGTTGAAGATTTTAAAAGCATTACAATCTAAAAAGTCACTCTCTACTCTTAAAAAGAACATATTAATTTAAAGTAGTACTCCCCACATCAATAGGAACCTTCTATACAGCAAAGGTCACAAGATGAGCAAATAACATATTTCCTACTCTTTATTTATTAGATTTATATTTATTTATATTAGATATATTTATTTATTATAACCAATAAGCAAAATACATAGAAAGGCAAATAAGAAACTCAACTCTCATCAAGCAATTCTTAGCTTTTTTTCCTAGAACATACTAACTCATCCTCCATTAATCAGTATCTGAAAATAAAAACCTGCTCTGATGTGAAACACAATACATGCTAATATTCTGGCTCCAGCTGTGGCACAAAGACTGAGGCAGTGCAATCATTTTTCTATCGATAATTCAAAAAACATCTAAGCTAGAATTTATTTAATTATGTCATTCCAGTTTAAAGGCTTAACTGTCATAAAACTTTATGTTGGAAATCTTTGGCATGACAAACATGAGAGCATTTTTTTGTTTTAGCCTTTTGCCGTTAAGTAGTCAACTTCTAGAAAATTAAGATCTGAACCTACTCTTCAGAGGAAAATTTTATTATTTTCTTTAGAATATTATGTTGACAACTACCAGGCATTTTTTTCTCAGTGCAATTTATTCTGTTAGTGGACAAATTCGTAAGACAAATTTCTACTTTGGGGACAATTTTACTTTTTTTAAATCAAAGCAAATTTCTCTTGGCTACTAAAATTGCTATATAATAGAGACTATTCATTCTATGGAAACTTTTATTAATCTATATTCATTCTTCAAAAAAGTACAACCTATGATTTTCAGGAAATATAAGACACACTTACCACAATTTGGTCTTCAGATGCAGTTGAGACACTACTATCATCAAAATAGTACCATTTTCCATCATCTTTATTTTTTGCAAAAGCAGTATCTAGTGAAAAAATATAATTAATTCTATGACTGAAATGATCTATGGTTTTCTGGGAAAACATTAAAAACTGTATAATCATCAACAAGAGGAATACCAAACATTACATGATAATCATCTACATGACACATTCAACAGATTCAACCTATTATAGGTTTTTGGGATAATGTCCTATAATCTAGACACCTACAATACTTTTGATATAATTTGAAACACATAAAATCCAGTAAGTGGGAAATACATACTATACCAAGAAATCAGTCCTAATACAATAATTAAAAAAAAAATGTAAATGGGTTAAACTCACGGAAAGTATATAGTTAACAAGTGGTTCTGTCTCTTTCCTCAAAGTCTTAGACTTGACTCTTGGTCCATACCCCCTTGCATCATCAAACTCAAGGATGTGTTAGGTATTAATCTGTACTGGATCCAAGATAAATGAGAATTTGTTCAAGGACTACAAACCATTCATTGACTAATGACTACCTGGTAATAAGATGCAGTTGCACTGAAAAATGAAAGCTAAGCTTGTAAGCTGAAGGGATTCCAGAGCTGATGGCAACCCTGGGCTGAGACTGTAAAAACAGTTTTGCTCTCATCATCAGCATATCCTTAGGGCAGAATGACTGGGACATTAGAAGCTGTAGCTGGGAGTTAAAAGACCAATGATAAGCTACTGCTCTATGTGCTATGTTGTTTTTTTGCTCTCTATCCTTTTTTCTTTTTTTTTGTTATGGTATGGTCCTCACACCAGCATCTGTATCCTTTCTTAAAACTAAAGTAACCTTGGTACAGGTGTAGTGAGTTTGTCAATCAGAACTAAAAACTACTGTACAGTAGACACTGAACTGACCAAAAAAAAAAAAAACAACAACCCACCCAAACTCTCAGACTGAATAAAAAGTGAAGATCTAATAATGTGGTCTGTAAGAAAAAGATAAAAAAAAAAAAGGTATAAAGAGTTTGCAAATTAAATGATGGAATCAAAAGAAAGCTAGGGTAACACTTCTAATATCTGAGAAAAAAAGACAACGGGAACAAGAAAGAATGTCAAGTCCTGATAAATGGAACAACAGAGAAACAAAAGCTACACACCATGAACATGAATACATCTAATGCAAAACAACTTAGAAGACTGTTGAAGGAAACAAAGATGGTTCAACAGAAAAATCTATCAATTAGAAAATGTCAGCTGGTGTAGTCATTTTTGGGAGCAAACTGGCAATACCCAAACACTCTGAAACCTAGAGAATTTCCCAAAGGAATTGTCATATGTTGTTGGTAGGTACTGTCCAGTTGGTTCCTATTCAGAGCGACCCTACGTATAACAGAACAAAACCATGCCCTGTCCTGTGCTATCCTCACCATTGTTATGCTTGAACGCACTGTTGCAGCCACTGTAACAATTCATCTCACTGAGGGTCTTTCTCTTTTTTGCTGACCCTCTACTTTACCAAGGATGCTGTCCTTCTCCACGGACTGGTCCCTCCTGATAACATGTCCAAAGTAAGAGAGATGAAGTCTTGGCATCCTCACTTCAAGAAGCATTCTGGCTATACTTCTTTCAAGACAGATTTGTTCATTCTTCTGGAAATCCTTGGTATATTCAATATTCCTCGCCAACACCATAATTTAAATGCATCAATAATTCTTTGGTCTTCCCTATCCATTTTCCACCTATCAGATGCATATGAGGTGACTGAAAATACCATGTCTTAGGTCAGATGCATCTTAGTCCTCAGAGTGACAGCTGTGTTTTTAATACTTTAAAGGGGTCTTTTGTAGCATGGTAGCCCAATGGAATACACTGTTTGATTTCTTGAGTGTTGCTTCCATGGGTGTTGATTTTGTATCCAAGTAAAATGAAATCCTTGACAACTTTAGTTTTTTCTGTTTATCATGATGCTGCTTATCGGTCCAGTTGTGAGGATTTTTGTTTTCTTGATGTTGAGGTGTAATCCATACTGAAGGCACCAGAGTTTTTGATCTTCATCAATAAGTACTTCATGTCTTTTTCAATTGCAGCAAGCAAGGTTATGTCATCTGCGTACTACAGGTTATTAATGAGTCTTCCTCCAATGCTGATGCCATGTTCTTCATATGTCCAGCTTCTCGGACAGTCTGAATATCTTCCAACCAGAGGAACTCATTTTTGAGTACTTATCAGACAACACTCTGCTGCTATCCATAGGTTTTCACTGGCTCATTTTTTTCCCCAGAAGTAGATCGTCAGGTCCTTCTTCCTAGTAGCTTTCGTCTAGAAGCTCTGGTGAAACCCGTTCCCCACTGGTGACCCTGATGGTATTTGAAATAGCAGTGGCATAGCTTCCAGCATCATAGCAACACATAAACCACCACAGTATGACAATCTGACAGGCAAGTGGTTGAAATTTTCACAGAGTGTATATAAACAATAATGTTTATCTTGTGATGATAGAAACTTAAAGGACATCTGGATGTTCACCATAAGGAAAGTGGCAAAGTAAAATATGGTACAGTATGAAGAAGTAAAATTATGAGCAGTTAGAAGCAATGGATAAAATGTACACAAAGCAATAAAGTCTTAAAAAAGGTCGAGAGAAAAGCGAGAAACACAATGAAATAAAAAATGATGCCTTATTTACAAAAGCACATCCATCAAACATATCAGAAAGATAAGGGAAAGCAGAATGGGGAAAGACAGGAATCCTGAATGGACCAATGATGTCCCAGTGCCTTGGACTAAGGAGTAAGATTAACTTAATCCTTTATAATGATTAAAAAAAAAAAGGACAACAACAACAAAAACAACCAAGGTTCCAAAGTGGATTCATGCATTAATCATTAAGCTCTCACCTGCTAACAGAAAGTCAGCAGTTTGAACCTAACAGGGGCTCCTCAGGAGAAAGACCTGCGATCTCCTCCTGGTATGATTACATTGAAGGAGCCCTGATAGTGCAGTGGTTAAGTGCTTGGCTGCTAACCGAAAGGCTGGTTGTTCCAGCCCACCAGCTGCTATGTGGGAGAAAAGAGCTTACGATCCCTATGGGGCAGATCTATTCTGTACCGCAGGGTCACTATGAGCTGGAGCCAACTTGATGGCACAAACCACAATGTTGAACAACTACTATGTGCAAGACACATCTCACATTTTACCTTTAAGATGTAATAAATATCTTTAAAATGTCTGGAGTTAACAAATACCAGGATTTAAGTTAATAGGTAAAATGTCAACTTACAGTGTCCTCCTCCCATCCCTCCATAGTGGTTCGAAACAGCAATCAAATTATAGCGGCAAGGACCTGCATTTGGATTAATTAGGAATTCTGACATATCCAAGTCACTGTTTGAAAAAGAGATCAAATTATAGTTTTATGTTTTCCCCAAATGGAGTAAATTCTATTCTAAACCCTCTATTCTTTCTGTCACTTATACATAGCTCACTAAAGAAATCACCAAGGGTCAAACAGCTCTTGCAAAACAAATCATACATGTACCCTTGAAACTTGAATTTCTTGGCAAAATTTTGTTTAGGAATCAACAGTTTAGACGTGTACCCTGATTACTGTTACTCAGATTAGTGTTTTTATGCTAATATATTTAACTCTTAGTTTATCAGGAAAAATAGCATCATTTACCATCTGGGACCAATTAAACATTCTTATGTTTTTTATTTTTTAAGTAATTTTTATGAATTATTTTCATAAGGAAAAATAAAGGGATAGTAAAAAATTCTGTTCTTAAAATATTAATTTAAATGTATCAAACCCAAAATTTTATTTCATTTTTCTGGTTTTGAATATATATATATATATACTCCAAATGGACATGATGACTTAAATACAACTAACTGTTCAAAATTTGTTACATAAGATCTGGAACATGACCACATTGTAAAAAGCTTATCATAATTTCTGGTTTTTCTTCTTTACTTCTATCATTACAAAGCAATAACTCTGTATTTCAAATATACCTCTAGTAGGTTCTAGCTTATTATTACTTCTGCTTCTTGCATTTACATTAACATGATACATACCTACTTCTCACTTATTATTCTTCAATCTGACATTTCACATTTATGACAATAGTAAAAATCTACTATCCACCTACTTTGTAAATTAATGATATATACCTGGCAGCAGTGATTGGTGAGGTGCGAGGCAACAATAAAGGTTATGTGTCAACTTGGCTGGGCATGAGTCTCAGTGGTTTGACAGTTTTGTAATGATGTAATTTGGCAGTTTTGTAATGATATCATTTGGCAGCCCTATAATGATACAGTCATCCTTCATTTTGTGATCTGATGTGGTCATCTTCCATTTTTGCATAATGCCCATTTTTAAGTAACAACCTGGTCTTTGGAGTCTAACCATGTTGGTGAGAAGTGGGTATACTCTTGAAAACTGATGGCACACAATTTTGTTAGAGAAAATGACCATCTTTTTCATTCTATAATTGTAGAACACTTCCATTTTAAAATTTATAAACCAATTAGAATGATCAATCTGATGAACATTTCCATTTTACTACATCTGTTTCCTTTATCACCTTTCTATACACAATTGCCTTCAATATTTGTCTACCTACTAACTGGATCAAGTAAATTTTGGTCCACAAATTCATAAAATATGAAAGAATATTGTCACATGTCCTTTAACAAACTGGGATAGTCCCAAGTTCTTGTTAAAAAATATTGTGTGATGAAGTCCTTTCTGCTGAATGAGTAAGTGAATGAGTACACAACATTCCCCCTTTCCCTTCTGAATTCTCAACTGATCAGGAAAAGCATTATGAAAAAAAAGACTGCAAAGAGACTGTCTTCAGATTTCTTTGTTATTTTTTTGAAATAAGATGCAATTCTCTGGAGAATGCAGTAAGAAAACCACAGGATGACCCAATAAGAGTGATTTATTTCACTAAATCATCCTTTTAAGGGCATCTATTTTTGTTTTTATATTATTTTAGTCTTTATTTTTAAGCATAGTTAAGAATAATTGATGCATAATGATGAAATAATCCCTAGTAAAAACAAAATCAGTAGGATCCATAAAGTATCTCAGATTTATAAATAGGACCAATGAACCCATAAAGTAATGTAAAATAGAATAACTTTTACTCTATTTTTTAAAAGGTATACCTGTTTCTCCAAGAAAGAAAAAAGATTATGATACATCAATCCTTATAGAAAGTTAGAACTATTAAAAATAAATTAACCTAAAATTGGGTCATATGGTATGTGATGTTTACTGAGGGATAATAACAAAAAACACCAAATAAGTCTGAAAAAAGTTAGAACTGTCCAATATTGTGAAATATATTAAAACTTACTTGATAGGAAAATCAACCAAGGTATCCAATTTGTCTCTCATGTAACGACTATAAGAAAATCGCTTTAGATGTACCACAAGTACTGGAGGCAGGGACCATAAATCTAACTTTTTAGTGGCTTGCTGATGTTCTTTACAATTTGGGCAATACCTAAAAATACAGAGAAATAGTCAAAGAAGCTTGATAGAGGTGCAAACAAATAAACACACCTCATTAATGAAAACAAACAAACCAATGTTTAGGAAGTTCTACATTCTTTCAGTGAGCAATTATTGAATGCCTAATACTTACCAAGCTGAAATAAATGCTAATTATTTTTATTTTCAATACAAGTTTAACCATTATAAATGAACGTAAAAATATAAATGAATATTTACATTTTGGTAGGCTAAAAGACATGGATGTATCACAAAACTATGCTGAGATACAACTATTAGAAAACCTCAAAATTTCTGGCTTTCAATCACTGTTTTCCATAGAAAAGCTTCTCTGTAATAGGGTGCACAGCCAAAAATTCTTGAGAAAAAGTAACTAAAATTAATTAATAGTAAAATGGCTAATACAGAAAATATTATAATGGTATTAAAGCTTAACATTATCAGTACTAGTTGCTATCAAGTTGATCTAACTCATGGTCATCTGTGTGTGTCTTAGTAGAACTGTGCCCTGTGGGTTTACAATGGCTGATTTTCCAGAAGTAGATCACTAGGCCTTTCTTTCAAGGTGTCTCTGAGTGGACTCAAACCGCTAAGCTTTCCGTTGGCAGCTATGTATGTTAACCATTTATACCACCCAGGGACTTCATCAGACTATATTAGATTATTACTTATCATCTATGGAAATGTCTATTAATTAAAATATCAAAAGGAATTTAGTAATCTCTTCTTCAACTTGATGCAGCACATATCAGAACATAAATCCTTAAAAAAAAACAGTTATTTAATTTTTTCTCTTACCAGGGATCTTCAGCACCTAGCTTTTCTTTTGTTGTAAAAAGTTCAATGCAATCTTTTAATTTCACAAAGGGTTTTTTTGGAGGTTTATATTCCACACTTTCATGTTTTTCAAAATCCTAAAGAGAAGTTATTTCTTGAGTTAAGAGAACAAATGAAACAAAACTCATTTTAGTGATACCATTTTACTACGAGTAATAATGAAAACTCCTAAACTTTCTCAAAAGAATCATAAAGTTTATTTCAACTGAGATTCATACCATTCATCTAAATAACTCATGTATACAGTTATACAAACGACTTAAATGTGTAAACAGAAAGCATATTCAAAACCAACTTTGTACCTTTTTAAAGAAGGTATTTTTTGCAAGGCTGTTTCCCTTTTAGTTCATACCAGTTCTCTACTGTGAGCAATTATTGAATTGCTACGTATTTGGTAAAAGTTTAACAAAACAGTGGGATTAACTTAGGAAATGTAAAGAAGGGGTGAATGATAACTTACCTCAGCGGCATTTTCATCAAAGTATCTTTTTTTCAAATCAGGATCCCAATCCAAAGCAAGAAAAGATCTTTCTAAGGTGGAAAACATATTTTTTCTTTAAACTTTAATGTGCTATAATGTTAAAATCAATATACTTTAAGGTTAAGATATACACTAGAATAAACACAGAGCAGTATTTTCTACTAAACTAGGTGATTAAACAAATAGCTATTTCTAAGCCTCTGAAATAATTTAGGAGCTAAAAAAAAAAAAAAGCTACAAAAGTAAAGCATGAGTTAAATCTCCCTTTAATAAACACTAAATAGGTTTTAGTCTACTTAGAAAATAATATTTTTCATTTAAAATTTTAAACAGATAGGCAAATAACATTTTTTCTTAAAAAGGTGAAATTTCAAAGCTCAAAATAACATGCCTGGCTCAAGTTTAGTGTTCAAGACATTTTTCCCAGATACTTACCATCTAGCCTTAGCTGCCTATCATCAAATCTTATATGTCTGGTATCATCTTTGATGTAGTTGATATCAGTATTGCCTAAGTTGTTGAACTGGAATGTAAACAATCGTTTTTTGTGCCCTGTGAGTTGACCTTTGCAAGTTTCCTCAGTACATAATCCATTTTCAGAATCATTATCTCCTCCAACTGAATCTTCAGACTGACTGTTTTCATTCTCTGAGGGAAGCTCTTGATCCTGGCTGGATTCATCATCTGGCTCATCTGTTTCCATTTCACCTAATTTTAGATATTAGAGACTTTCAAATAACCCAATGTTACTTTAAAAAAATTAATATTATTATCAAAGTGACAAATGAAACTGCAAAGATTGGATAGGAACCTTAGGGGGCAGTGAATTTTATGTTAATGGGGGAGAAACAACTCAGGCAAAGAGAATGAAGATGGTTGTACAACTTGAAGAATGTAATCAATGTCACTGGATTGTATATCTAGAAATGGTTCAACTGGTCTATTTCTTCTTGTATACATTCTCAACAACAAAATGAAATTAAAAAAAAAAAATCAGTATTATTTTCCTCAGGATCACAGATATTTTTAGTTCCTTAATCTCCATTTTCTTAACTGCTTCTCCCAGTTAAGAATCCAAGTGAAAAGTTTCATAATTTAACAGGGAAGTCTTACTTGGTGAGCCTTCTTCATGTATGCCATTTGGGCCATTCCCATTGATATTTTGGTCCTTACAGCAGTGTAGGGATCCTTCAGTTTCTTCAGTTTCAGTAGATATTTTGACATAACGGCTTGAATAAATCAGAAACCAAAGTCAGGTGCAAAAAGGTAGTATCTTTAAAAGAAAGTTTCCTATTCTTTCAGTAAAGCAGAACTTTTTAATGCAGTAACAGTGGTCATTTAGTAGATTCAAGGATAAATTCCAACTCAAGATATAGTACCGTAAGTGCAACTAATAATTTGCATTGCTCTTAAAACAAAACAGAACAAAAGACATTGGTTTGTTACTTCCAGGAATTTACATCTTTCTTTTAAATGTTTAAATGTTAAAAAGTTTGTGGCAAATAATTCCAAAACTTAAAAAATTATATAAAAAGATCATCATTTACATAATATATATTAATAAGATCACTTATAGTTGTATTAATTTTATTTTTTTAAATGGGTTCTGTAACTACATTTAGGAGCTCTGATGGCTAGTGCCTAACACATTTGACTACTCACCAGAAGGCTGGCAGTTCAAACCTACCAGGCACTCCTTGGAAGGAAGACTGGAAGACTAGGCAATCTACTTCTGTGGAGATGCCGCCTCAGAAACCCAAGGAAGGTTTGCTATCAGTAGGAACTAACTTGACGGCAGTTGAGTTCGGGTTTTTTTTTTTGGTAATTACAATGACTAAGATAGTTATGTAAGAAATGATACTAAATATATACTTAATAGTTATAGAAAGGATAAAAGAGAGAGGTCAAATGACATTTTTCACCTTGTAACACAAATCAAGGCTTTAAGAAGGCAAACAGGAGCTATCTTACAATACTATCAATCAGAATGGTTTATCCTTAACTTTACTAGAATGACTTTTTGTTATGATTTCAGAGTGCATACATGCATTACAGTATTAATAACTTCCTATTTCTTTCTGACTGTATGTTTCTGAGTTAAAATATGTTAAGTTTCCCAGGTTTGAAATTTCTTCAGTAGTATGTTTTACTTGAGCAGGAAACTGGATTAGATTGTAATTTTGTATTAAAGATTACTGTCTGAACAAAGCTGAGAAAACACAGACCAATTATATTCTGACACCAGACACACACACACACACACACACACACAAAACCCCAAACCCAATGGCATGTTGAGTCAGTTATGACTCATAGAGACCCTGTAAGAGCAGAACTGCCCCACAGAGTTTCCAGTGCTGTAATCTTTACTGAAGCAGACTGCGTCACCTTTCTCCCATGGGGCAGCTGGTGGGTTCAAAATGCCAACCTTTCAGTTAGCAACCAATGCTTTAACCACTGTGTCACCAGAGCTCCTAAATTCTGAAAGTATCTTGCATTTTTTACTTCTATTAACTATTTTATTTCTGTATTTATTTTCTCACTGTAGTATTGTGTAGCACTTACCACATTCTCAAAAGCAGGAGATTATAGAGTTTATCTTCAGTATTATTTCGTGGTACAGCCATAAGAAAAGGCTGACCAAAGAGTGAAGAACCAGTATGGTGGGTGTAACTTGAGTGTCTAAACTTTTCTCTTAGGCAAACAGGAATAATCACATGCTCTGTATCTTCTGTCCTATTGATATTAATTTCAAACCTACAAGGACAAAATAGATCCTAAACTCTCAAAATTTTGTCATTTCATTTGAATTTTTTCTCAAGTAATATTTACACAATTAATTTTATACTTACACATAAATATCATCCCGTTCCATAATACTACTAAGGTTTTCATCCATAGCAAATATTCTGTGAAATCTATGATTGTATATATCAGTAACTATCATCTAAAAGGAAATAAATTTCTATTAAGCTGGTTTTATAACACTCACAAACTAAACACCAAGTTAAATACTTTCACCACAAGAGCATCTTACCTTGTCTGCTGGTACTCCTGACAAAGTGGATAATGCTATACAAAGATCTGATATGTTTCCAATTTTGGGGACAACCACTTTGTACTAAAAAATAAAAAAAGTAATTAAATTTATTACTTTAGAAAAAATATTCAACAGATGTAAATGACCTCATGGTTGCTTCCTTATATTCATCTGGCATTTGGCTCAACGTCTGTCACCACTTTTGCCATCATCCTGGGTGACAATGTCCGTATAGATGATTTATCCTAACCTTACCACTCCTTGGCTCCTCAATTCAAAGACCTACATTTTCATTTAACTACAGTCCATTTCCATCACCTGAAACTGTTCCATTTTTGAAATCTTAAACCCTAATAGATTACTAACCACTACTTCTTACTTATATATACTTAATATACTTTCATATATACTGTGAAGGGAGCTCTGGTAGCATAGTGGCTAAGACACTTGCCTGCTAACCAGACGGCTGGTGGTTCAAACCCACCAGCCACTCCTCGGAAGGAAGGTTGGGCAATCCTACTTCCGTAGTGATACTGCCTCGGAAACCCAAGGAGGGGTCGCTATGAGTCGGGTTTGATTCGACGTCACATAACAACAACAACATCAACATATACTATGAAAACTCATTCCTATTTACTCCTGACTTGCACTGAGATTTCTAGTTCTTTGAGCTGTTTTCTCTCAGCTTACTAGTTCCTACTACCTTTTTAAGGAGCTCTGGTGTACTGGGTAAGGAATCTGGCTGCTAACCAGAAGGTCAGCAGTTCAAACTTGTCAGCTGCCCTGTGGGAGGAAGATGAGGCAATCTATTTCTGTAAAGATTTATAGCTTGGAAACCCAATGGGGATCGTTATGAGTCAGAATCGATTAGAAGGCAATGTTTTTTCTTCCCCCTTCACTATCTTCATGCCTTTCCATGTAGACCCCACATGCTTGTAAAACCTTTAACTCCTTTGTTATTCAGTTCTATTCATGCTGACCTCTCTCCGAGCTGTTGAGATATGCTAGAGAAAATTGCTCAACTTTATAGACTAAAACCAACCCAAACCAAACCTACTGCCACTGAATCGATTCTGACTTACAGTGACCCTACAGGACAGAGCAGAACTGCCCCACAGGCTTCCAAGACTGTAAATCTTATGGACTGCCTCATCTTCCTCCATGGAGCAGTTGTTGCGTTTGAACCTACTGGTTAACAGCTGGTTATTTTAACCCTTGTGCTACTATTCAATGGGCAATCTCAAATGATTCTTCAACACCATCCTGAAATTATTCTGTGTATCCCTTATTTGCTTTTTCTTTTATTTCCTCCATCCTTGCCTTGCTATCTTACCGCTTCTCCTTTCACTAATCAACAAAATATCTATTTTGCCAAGAAAATAGAGGCAACAAGGGTAGAAAATCTCCAACATCTTCTTCCCTTACAAATTTACAGGTTCTTTTGCCTGTCTCATGCAACACGTAGTAAGAGAACTAAATGTCTCTCTTCCCATCCAAGGCTAACCTTAGCATGGGTGTTCTGAATCTCATCCTTGTCTGTTTCCTCTGGGACTTAAGCCCGGAAGTGATCCTTTTTCTTCCACTTTATCTTGATTCTTTCTCACAATCATATACAAGTCTCTTATAAAAAACCAAATAGTATCTGATTGCTTCCCCTCTAGTAATTCCTCTCTAATTATCTCTGTCTCTCTCTTCTTTTTATAAGTAATTTTGTTGAAGTAATCTCTATGCTGGTGAGGATGTGGAGAGATTGAGACTCTCATACACTGCTGGTGGGACTGTAAAATGATACAACCACTGTGGACACTGGTATGGCGATTCCTTATAAAGTTGGAAACAAAAATACCATTTGATCCAACGATCCTATTACTAGGCATATATCCTAAAGAAATGAGAGCCAGGACACGAACAGCCAGTAAACCCATGGTCATTGCAGCACTATTCAGAATAGCAAAGAGATGGAAACAACTTGAGTACCCGTCAACAGAAAAATCGATAACCAAAATATGGTACATACACACAATGGAATACTATGCAACACTAAAGAATAATGTAGAATCTGTGAAACATCACATAACATGGATGAACTTGGAGGACATTATGTTGAGTGATATAAGTCAATCACAGAAGGACAAATATTGTATTAATCCACTATTATAAAAAGTCAAGGAAAGGTTTATATATGGAAGGAAAATTTTTTTTGTTAGTTATGATGGAGGGGAGGGAAAGGAAAATTGCTAAACAGGTAAGAGGTAAGTATTATTGATTTGGGTGAGGCTGTTGTTGTTGTTAGGTGCCGTCGAGTTGTTTCTGACTCATAGCGACCCCATGCACAGCAGAATGAAAACACCGCCCAATCCCACACCAGCTCCATGATCCCTGATATACTTGAGCCCATCGTCGCAGCCACCATGTGAATCCATCTCATTGAAGGCCTCCTCCTCTTTCATCAACCTTACCAAGCATGACATCCTTCTCCAGGGAATGGTCCTTTCTGACAACATGACTAAATTAGGTGAAATGAAGTCTGGCCATTCTCACTTCCAAGGAGCATTTCAGGTGCACGTCCTCCAGGACAGATCTGTTAGTTCTTTTAGCAGTCCACGGTTCTTTTAGCATTCTTCACCAGCACCACAACTCAAAAGCATCAATTCTTCTTCAGTCTTCCTTATTCATTGTCCAGCTCTCACATGCATATGAGGCAACTGGAAATATCATGGCTTGTGTCAGGCGCACCTTAGTCCTCAAGGAGATATCCTTGCTCCTCAGCACTTGAAACAGTTCCTTCACAGTTGACCTGCCCAGTACTACACATCGTCTAATGTCTTGACTGCTGCTTCCATTGGCATCGATTGTAGAACCAAGCAACGTGAATTCTTTGACAACCTCAATCTTTTCTCCGTTTATTGTGATGCTGCTTATTGGTCCAGTTGTGAGGATTTTTGTTTTCTTTATATTGAGACATAATCCATACTGCAGACTGTATTCTTCAATTTTCATCAGTAAGTGCTTCATGTCATCCTCACTTTCAGCAAGCAAAGTTGTATCGTCTGTGTATCTCAGGTTGTTAATGATTCTTCCTCCAATCCTGAAGCCACGTTTTTCTTCATATAGTCCAGCTTTCTCGGATTATTTGCTCAGCATATAGATTGAGTAAGTATGGGGAAAAGATACAACCCTGACACACTCCCTTCCTGATTTTAAAACATGTAGTGCCTGTTCCCTTGTTCTGTTTGAACAACAGCCTCCTGGTCAATGTACAGGTTCTTCATGAGTACAATCAAGTGTTTGGGAATTCCCATTCTTCTCAATGTTAGTCATAATTTGTCATGATCCACACAATCAAATGCCTTTGCATAGTCAATCAGTTAAGTGCCTCAAGTCATCCTCACTTTCGGCAAGCAAAGTTGTATCGTCTGTGTATCTCAGGTTGTTAATGTGAAGGGAAAGACAATATACCAAATTGAGTGACCAACACAGTAACACTAAGGAAAAGGAAAACACAGAGAGGTGCACAAAAGGTACAGACAACAAAGATAAACACTTTTACGTATCTAATACTGCATTATCAGTGATAATAAACATTAACTTATGAGTTATAGAGGGGTAGACAAATTGAATGATCAGGTATGTCTAGGCAAAAAGGAATATACCATGACCATATATAAGATTGGCAGACAATATTTCTTCGATGTATTTGTATGTGCTATAAGAATGTTCATATAAACTAATGGGGGGGGGCAATGTTATGATAACGTCTTAGGCACTATCAACTACATTGATGGAGCAAGTAGTTGGATCTGTGGGCTCAGGACCATGGTCATGGGGGATATCAAGCTCAATTGACCTAACATATAGTACATAAGCAATGTTCTACATTCTACTTTAGTGAGTAAGGACTAGGGTCTTAAAAGCTTGCCAGTAGCTCTCTAAGAGGCAACAACTGGTCTCTCCTTGCCCAGAGCAAAGAAGAATAAAGAAAACCAAAGACACATGGAAACAGTTAATCCAAGGGACTAGGGGACCAAGTGAACCTCAGCCTATATGATCATGAGACCAGAAGAACTAGGTGGTACCTGGCTACCACTATCAGCCACTCAGAAAGGGATCAGTGCTGGAGATCCTGGATAGAGAAGGAGAAAAATGCGGAACAAAACTCAAGATCATGAAAAAGACCAGGTTTACTGGTATGATAGAGCCTGGTGAGATTCCCGACACTATGGCCTCTAGTTACCCTTCAGTTCTGGAACTAAACTCACGCCTGTGGCCTCCAGCCAAACAACAGACAGGCATATAGGACGAACATTTATACCAGGTAGATACACTCCTTAGAACAATGAATCATGGGAGAACAGAAGGGCAGTATTTTCACAGGGAGACAGCTCAGGGGGCAGGAATGCATAGCAAAGAAGGGTACAAGGGAAGCAGTTAACTACAGGGAGGAAGTGGGAAGAGAGCTGGTACATTGTGGGGACTGCAGTCAACGACATGAAACAAAATGTGTACGAACTATTGTATGGAAAATGAATTTGCTCTGTAAACTTTCACCCAAACTACAGTAACAATGAAATAATAAAAAAGTACTATCCATACTGATGATCGTAACTTCCTCACCTTCTTTTACTTTTCAACTTCCTAGCTTCTGTCTTTACCTATTTAACCTGTTATCAAGGTTACCAATAACTCACTAAATCTTTATTAGTCCTTATTTCATTGACCTCTCTGTAACACGATAGCTGACACACCCTCCTTAAAATATTCCTTTTCCTAAAACACTACTAATTCTTAATTTTCTCTGTTGTCTTGGCTACTCCTCTTAAGGCTCTTCTATCAAGTGCTCTTTATAATACTGTCCTTAGTCCTCTTCTCAATTCTGTATGTTCCCCTTAGACTAGTTGATAGTATATTCTGATTTATTTTGGCCAGTCCTGGATTGGTCTGCTATTCTATTATTAATGTTGTTGCTGTTATGTGCCATCAAGTTGGACCCGACTCATAACAACTCCTCCTTGGGTTTCCGAGGCAGTATCACTACAGAAGTAGATTGCCCAAGCTTCCTTCCGAGGAGTAGCTGGTGGGTT